TTGTGACAACTGTTGGTCAATGTCCTATGCCATAATCACTATTTTCTTGGTGATTTCTATCATAAGAGGAATGGTTACCTTATGGAAAAAACTTATACTAGTGAAAATCCCAAGTTAGTTCTTATCAAATCAACATTCATTGATTTCATAAGTGTCCTTGCTGATTTTCCAAGCACAGTGAGTTCCATATGACAGTATGAAAGTATCCACCATAACTATTTTTTAAAAAGACAACAAAAATTTTCAATTTACTGTGAAATGTTACCATTAACCTCTTTTTTTCTAAGACTCAACATTCACTGGGTGTGTCAAGGAAGAAAAAAGCACTGTTATGTTTAAGTGATGCCAAACATCTGGATAAAATCACAAAAAACATCAACTGGATGTTTGTTTCAAAAATGGAAGTTGTTGAGGAACATATATAAAACCTTCATTCGTTGCCTGACGTCTTTGCTCTTTTCAGAATATGTTATTTAGATACAGACAAAATGTAAGAAAACCACACTCTAAGAAGATATTTGCCCAATATTCTATCTGCTTCCCAACTTCTGGCCTTTCTCTCCCCACTGGCACCACCAAATTAACAAATAAGCAAGCAAACAAATAAATGCATCTACTAATTTTCTAAATTATGTCAAAAATTAAACAGAATTACAGGTGCAGTTAAACTGATAAGGAAGCAGATCTCTTACTGAAGCACCACTTACAGCACACCCAAAGGGATGGCCCGGGCTTCGTCAGGTAGTTCTAATTGCAGGCAGATGTGCTGTTAGAGAAGAAAACTACAGAAAAAGAAAAGGTTACTGTGTGTGGCCTGTCTCAAGGGAACTAGTATTATGTAAGAAAAGTGTGACTGGATACATAGTTAAAATACTAAACTAAAATGCTACAGAAACCCGAGAAAAGTGAAAAGGTATATATCCTTCAATTTCATGAGTCAAACCCAAGCTTAACAACTTAAAGGCAGGTCCTAAGATGTCAACTGCATTAAGTAGGTCTAGTCTCAGGCAGAACTTTATTTCCTGTATCACCGTGGGTTTTGATTTTACATCTGTAGCAGTAACTTAACTTGCTTTTGTTCCAAAATGAATTTCATGCTCAACTTGTTTTTCTTAATTAAACTTCCTTTAGCAGTCCCTAATATGTGTATTATTAAAACTCATTAGTCCCATTCACACTTGCCTGTCACTTTTTGGCTACACATTCATATATTGAAGTGTTCTGTTGCTATATATAGGAAGAAAATTAAATAATAAATATGGGGACTTGAACGTTTTATGAGTGTCAGGATGAGAGACTGCCTGCAAGGCCCATAAGGTTTCACACAAAAGAGGCATTACTGCTAAAGCTGACATGCTGACACATCTCTGATCTATAAAGTCTGCAGTAATGGCAGCAGTAAAGCGTTTTGCCATTGACTAGAATTTCTCTTACATGCAATGGAAATAGGCACAGAAGAGATTATATTGACTGTTATAAAACAAATTCATATAAAATCCCCCAGAAGTTTAATGTCTAATAATTTCAAATGCCTGAAGTGATTTACTAGTTTTCTCTGACTTCAGTTAAGCTTAGAGTTGATCATCTTTCTCTCTCACACAGGTTTACTACCAAATAGGTTGGTTTGTTTTTTTGGGGTGGGAGGTGGAATTTTAAAGGCAAAAATAACTCATATCCTTTTATAGCAACATAGTAATATTTGATATCATTAATGTGACTCCATTAATAACAAAGCCAAAATAATCAAATATGTTACTGTTAAGGAATCACTCTTCTTAGAAACAGTTGAGAATGTTGCTATCCCACGAGATTAACAGGTGAGCTACCTCAAAATATTTTAAATTATCTTTTAAAAGGTATTAAAAAGGACACTCTAGATTCATCATGAATGTTCACTACTTTATTTTTTTTTAATTTTCTGGGCTTTGCAAATTTGAGATATTAAAAAATTGAAATTTTACATTAACTGAAACTTTTGTTTTTACATGTCTCAAGAGAGCATAAGAGATAGAAAATTTGCATTTTTGGATGCCATATGTTAAATTTAAAAATCATTTAAAACTATTGCCCTTTTCATTTTACTTTCAATAAGAGTGTGTAGCAATTTTCTTTTCAAAAAAATCGATTAATATAGAATAGCATGTAACTATATTTAATCATTTCAAAATCATAGAAGGAAACTGTAGGAAATAACAACTCCTATTGAATGGTAGGTTAGTTAGAACACATAGAAGGCTTTTGAGAGACTGGTACAGCTGTCAAACGAAGCTCCAATGTATGCAACATCAGTTTTTTCATAGTCACAAGCTTTGGGGAATCCAACGCTATTTCTTGTCACACACGTCAGGAACTGTACTTGCAATTTTCTGGGGATCATTGAGGGCTTCCATCCCTTCATCCCAAACTACCACATTTTGTGTTATTCTTAATCAAAATTGGAAGAGCTGATCAAGACCATATTCTTTTAAAAATCACAACCAAAAATATGTGTTTGGATAAGGTAGAGCAAAATGTCGTTAATTTTCTAAGTAAACTCTCAGGTTTTTCAGTTCTTAAAGTGATCTACTCTATTAGTAGAGAGCATTTCTATTACTGGGTAACTTGCTCTTATTTATTGGCTACAGTTTTAAAAATTTTTGTTGTGCGTCATTTTACTCTTATTTCCATCATTATTGACCTTTCAAAGTGGATCTACTACCTACAAAGTTACCAAAGTTTTGTGCAGGAACTGCTTATAGAAACCAAAGAGTAAGCCAAAGTTTCCCCTTTTTCTTTTCCACTGATGAAAGAGAATAAAATGAAGGAGTAGAAAGTATTGATGATTCCTAACAGAGAAAAATATTGTTCAGCCATGACAGAGGCACTTGAAGCTGAGTCTTCTGCTTTGGCACTATATGGCAAATGCCATGATCACCAGTTCAACAGTTGTGAAATATACAAATTAACTTTTAAAAGAACCTTCTTCCTCATGTTTCATATTCTCCATCTATTTATAGCACGTTATATTCTCTACTAGCCCAGAAAGAAAAATTCCAGCTCACCTCCCATACACCTCCATTAATTATTTACTATCATCATTTAATGTGTTATTTACTAGCTGACTTCTTTTTTATTACTTTAAACTTTGAAAAAAAGATGTTCACTATTGTTGGACTGTGTGATCTTGGATCAGTGGCTAGAATGTACCAATACACAGAACATCCATTCTTCTAGCTCACCCTGCACATGAACCACGTGACTTAGAGCTGTGTAAAAGAAAGGCAAATCTAGCCTCTCAGACATCTCCTTAAAGCTAACAGTTGGGCTTATAAAAACTATATTTTGTTATTTTTGTCACCTTTAGACAAGCTTACACAAAATCTGCAGAAATAGGAAATATTTAACTTCGCCACCATAGAATCCTTGGGAGACAAAGTTTTCTATTTTGCTATTTCATCTTAAAAAAGAAAAAAAATGAATGGCATTGTGCTTGATCCAGAAGTTAGATTTAAGAAACACATACACACACAAAACCAGGAAGAAAATCTGGCAAGGCTTCCCTTTCAATACTAGGATTTCTGATGTATTTGGAATTTCTGAAATAAGTACTGGGATGATGAGTGCTTCAGATGACATTGAAGAGCTGCCTTTCATGAGTTCACACATAATGGAGAGGCTTCAATGCTAAAGCCATGAAAGTATTTATAGTCATATCATAATCTGTAAACATAAACCCCTGAAAAAATATTTGATGCTTTTTTTAAAAGATAGAAATTGTATTTAAAAAATCATTATTTTATATTTTAACAATTATCTATCTCCATTTTATTCTAATGTATTTGTCTGTCTGAAGGTTTAAAATTTAACGAATTGGCCTTAAATAGGAGGAGCCAACTAAAATTATAATGCTGAGGTGTCCAAAGGTATAAAGGGGTGGGGGATATTCATTAGCCTATTTAACATATCTATATACATATTTTAAATGAATCGGTTCTTCATGTTATTGTTCTGAACCTATGTGTGTTCCAAAATTGGTTCAGAATAATATGCTTTTCTGGATTCCACAGCAACTTTTAGTTTCCTAAGTCAATTAATATTACTCATTTAAGTATCATGAATTTTAATTCTATCTGCTGAAATTGATTTTCCTTCTGCAAATAATGATGAGCTTTTCTTGAGGGCTAAAAAATAAGATAATAAAAAGGAAAAAAAAAATTCCTTGTATTCAGCTGCAAGAAAATGTCTGAGAACGCGCGCGCAGCGCTCAGTTGGAAAGAAAAGCCAGTGAGTGGAGAGGCAGCCAGGGTAGGGATGCATCAGAAATGCAGCCCGCTGCCTCATTCACTCGCCAGCCGGGGCCCTCGGCATAAAGGCTGCAACGCCTTCCTGGACCCTTCCAACTCCAAAAAAGTTACCTCGGACTGTATTATGCAAAGTCTTGCAAGTGAATTACAAGACAACACGTGTGGCCAGTCATCCACTTCTGTGTCTATCCAGTGCAGTGACCCTGTAACCCTTTAGCGTTCGCCGAAGAGAAAGGGGAGGCGGGAAGGGGAAGGGAAAAGGGGAGGGAGGGATAACAAGATAACACGAAAACGGCCGATTCCCCCTGCAAAATTCCCGTAGAAGCCAAGACAGCCGCCGAAACCGCGGCCGAGGCAGCGGCGATTTCTACTTGGGTTCTCCCCCTGCACATGCAGGTTTTCCAAGGCATCCCTGCTACCTCTCTCTAAAGTATCACTAGGAGGAAAGCACTGGATCCAAAAGGGATCTCCCAACTGAGCGGTTTTCAATGCGAAGTTGAGATCTCGGAGGGTTACCTGGCTTCCCCACCAACGCCACAAAATAAGGTTTTTAAGCTCGATCTAGGTAACTCCCTAGCGATCCACCCCGAGATGCGCGAGGTGGCTTTACATCCCCTTTTCTCTCCCCATTTCACGGGCGCCGCGTCCGCAGAACCTACAGCGCAGCGGCACACAAACCCAGGCAGCCCCCTCCCAATAAAAGACCCCCAAACTTACCCTCAGTAAGATAAATCCACAGAGGGAACCCCCTCATCCTCCCCTAGTCCCCTTCCAATCATTCAAGGAGACAGTTTCTACAACACTTCGCCGTCAAATTCAAGCTGAATTGGTCGAAGTATTTATCAGCTTCTAGACGCTTTTTTTGAATCTTGAGCGCTGGTAATTCTGGTTTCAGAATTCAGGAGGCTTCCTTTTTTATTTGTTTTTCTTCTTTAAGCAGCCGCAACCCCAGTTTTGCGCCCCCCCCCCTTTTTTTTATTCACCCACGGACACTTCCAAAACGTGTCGATTGATCCTTTTTTCTCTCCAGATGAAACCACGATCCAGAATTCTCGGGACCCAAAGCCACCTCCATGTAAATCCGACCATCAGGCAAGAAATAAAAATGATCAAACAACGTTACTTCTTTCGGCTGCAATCAGATAATCCTACTAATCCAATAGATTTATCTCGATTGGAAATTGACCTCAAAAATGAATCCCTGGCGCTGATGTCCAGTAAAGCGATTTCGTAGCCCTGTTCGGGTGACCGAAAGAACTGTGACTTCTTTCTTTCTTCTTCTTTCTAAAAAATCTTTTTGGATTCTGGGTGCACTGCTCGCAAAAAATGCGGAGGACCCTGGTTTTCCCCTAATACAGGTTTCTACTCCAAATCGGTGCAGGATGAAAAATGGTACAAAGATACCCCTAGTGGCTTGAGGTGATATTGCAGGGAATCGCACTTTTTTTTTTTTTTTTTTAATCCCCTCTCCTCACCTATTTTCCCCCCTCTGCCCTGTGGATAGATAACTGGCTGCTATAGCAGTATTCCTGCTTATAGTAGTTAAATAAGAAGAAGGCTGAACGGAGATTAACATGAATAGTATATGACTCCTTGAAAACATCGTCTGATCTTTCTTCTTTGTTTTACTTTAAAGACTGAGTCTTCTGTGCTCTCTCCCCAGTATTCCATCTTTTTTTCAACAGTTTCCCCCAATGGCATTTAGTAGCTAAAATGCCAATTTGGAGCAGCTAGTGATTTCAAAACAAATGTATTTGTTTCCTGAATAACTATAGATACCCAAAGAAACCCCAAGCGATCTGAGACGTGCTGCTTTCAGAAAACAAAAAACAAAACAAAACAAACTTAACATTGTGTTTTCTTTAGGGTTATATGATTATGGATACATATTTTTTTAGACAATCTCTTCTCATTTTGGACTTTCGATATTCATTCAACAGAGCAGTAGATGGCTTCTGCAAGCCTATGGTCAAAAAGCTAGACCTAAGGGTCATTATATAGTTCTTAATGCTGCTTATCTGAACCCTTTGCAATTCAATCATCTCAAGATTACCACTAGCATTTTTGACAAGTTTTAGAAAAAAAGCCAGTGCAATGAATTTCAAGATTCCATTTTGGTAAGCAACATTTCACAAACTACTGTGTTTACCAAAGACCCAGGAATCTTTTTAAAAAGAGGATTCTGGTTTGGTAGGACAAGAGAAGGAATGAGATTCTGCTTTTCTAACAAGCCCTCTGACCACATCCTGATTATCAAGGATTTAGTAAACTTGGGAAGTTGAATTCATTTTCATGAGAGGGTGCAATAGCTGCAAGGATTCCACCATCTTCTTCCTTAAACAAACTGAATAATTAAGCCTTCTTAGTCAATGAGCTATTAAGGAGTCAAGAGACCTTCCTTCTATTACTGGTTTTGTTATTAAATGACTATGTGACTTTGAGCAATCACATTTTGGCCCATAGCTAATTTATCTGTTAAAATTGAAGAGTAAACCAAAATAAATGAACAAACATACCTGTTCCTAGATGGGAGACTCAATGTTGTAAATTAATAATGTAATTATTATTAAAAGCCCACTATAATTTTTCATGGAACTTGAAAAGTTAATCTTAAAATGTGTTTGTGGGAGCAAAGGGTCAAACTTGTCAATACAATTTTATATACAATACAGTTAAGAACAAGGTATGGATAATTTTCATATGAACTATTAAGACTAAACAGAAAATGACAGTAACTGAGGCAATGTAGCTTTGGGTCAGGGATAAAATTAGTCCAATGGAATAGAATAGGGGGCTCAGAAATATATCTCTGAATTTATGGGAACTTTATAAATAACAGGTGGCATGAGAGAGCAGTGAGGAAAAATGAATTATTCAGGCAATAGATTAGGCATATGAAAAAATTATAATTCATACCTAAATACGTATTTAAGGTAGGATAAAGCCTTAAAGATGCAGAGCAAAACTTAAAACCTTTAGAAAGAAATAGCTTTGTGATTTTGGGTAGATGGGAATAGAAGGGTTTATTAAACATTAAGACATAAAAAGTTAAGTCTATAAAGGAAAAATGTTATTTTGATATGTTAAAATTAAAAATTTATGTGCATCAAAAAAGTCAAGGCATAGACGAAAGATATTTGTTATTCATGTAACCAAAGAAGGATTAGTATCCAAGCACATAAAGCTTTCTTACAAACCTATAAAGACAAAAAAATATGATAGGAAAAAATGAACCAAGATAAACAGTCAATTGGCAGAAGAGGATTCTCAATGGCCAATAAACATCTGAAAAAGATACTTTAGTTATTAAAGAAATACAAGCTAAAATGATGAGATACCATATCATAGGTATGAAATTGGCAAAAATTTTAAGTCCAGCAATATGAAAGAATAATAAGAATGTGGAGAAACCATGGAAAGTATATTAGAACAATTTCAGAGAGCAGTTTAGAGATAGTTGAAGACTCTCATTTCCTAAAATTGAGTCTCTCTACTCCTGTGTACTTCTCTTCACATGTACAGAAGAAAAAAACCATTTTAGAATTACTTGAAAGAGAAAAAAAGAGGAAAAGGAAGAAAAAATATAAACACCTTTGGATAAAAGTACTTTATAGAATAATCACATGCTGTGAAACTAGAAACAGTAAAAAGAAAAATGAATGCACTATAGCTATTTGAGTTAGCATGGATACATCTCAAAAATGCAATCTGGAGCAGAAACAATAAAAGCAGTTTGCAGAAAGATACCTGTGGGATGATACCATTTATGTATCAAGTTTTAAAATGTGCAAAAATAAATATATATATTTTGAGTATATTTATATGTGGCAAAAGTATATAAACATCCATGATAATGATAAACCTGAAATTCTGGGTAGAGGTTATCTTTGGGAAGAATGGAGGTTAATGACATTGGGAAGAATCACAGGGAGCTTCAGCTGAATCTTCAATGCTTTATTTCTCAGACTGAATCTTGAGTACACAGATGTTTATAATATTACATATAACTTTTCTATATGTCTGAACTATTTCATTAAAATGAAATATTTAAACTAGATGACTTCCATGAATCCTTTATGGTATTAGAAAATTTTCTAATTAGAATAAATATATATAGAAGTGAAAAGAAATAGTATGGGAGTTTGGAATTTCATAATGTGCTTTCTTTTAAAAAATCTGTAGTACTTTTTATTTCTAAGAAGTGGAAATGGATCAATGCTTATTTGTTTCTACAACAGATATGAAAATTCCCAGCTAGTAAACAAAAACCAGCACCCAAATGGAGAAAAGTGTGGTTGAAATAGGGGGAAAATGTAATTCTCAACTAGCTCCTTCTTGTATTTTCCTTTGATCTCACATGGAGTAACCATGTCTCTGAAACTGTAAAACAGGCAATCAATTGATCATGTTCAGTCCTGACCAGTTAACTGGAAACCACCAAAGCCAGAGTAGTCCTAAACCAAACTACAACACAAAAGATAATTTCCCCAGAATATTTAAAATACATATGTAAATTCAAATAGGGAGGTTATGTTGATATGAAATATAAGAACTGGAAATCTCATTTCAAAATCATCAGACAGTATTTTTCATAATTCATTCAAAATTGGAGAAGATATCAAATATTAAGAAAGAATTTTTTAGGGCCCAATGTTAGAAGTAAAATGAGTTAGAATAGCTGTTAATACCACTCAACTCACATTGAAAGCAAGAAAGACGCTTGGACAAATCACCAATCAATTTTCAGAACAGCATTCCCAGGCAATAGCCAAAGCAGCTTTGTAATAAAGAAACAGAGAGGGGACAATTTAATGTCCTTTAGTGATAGAATAAACAAGGGGGAAGAAGCAGATGTAATATCCAAAATTTGGAGGGGCTGACATATTCTTTCAGCAACCACTTATTGAATACCTCCTGCCTACCAGACATAGTACAAAGTATTTCACAGGAGAGTTAACATTAAAACAAATAACCACCATAAGCCCGTAGTTAGCTATTGATAATTGATTTGTTCATTGTAAATGGTTAGTAGTTATTCTGAATTAATACTTAACCATCTATGCTGAAAATGAGATATTAGACACTAATATAATATTGAAGGTTCATTTTCAGTGTATTTAAGTACAAACTGATGTGACAGGTTAAGGTAGTCAATGAAGAAAGAAGAGTAAAACAAGAAGAGGATGAGGGGTGGTAGAGAAAAAGAAGACTGAGGATAAAAATATGAATCAAACTCATTTCTCTTCCTGGTGATTTACTTTACAGACAAGATAGAAACTTACTTAATCTTTGTATCCCTCAGAGTACAAATGATTAGTGAATGAATGCCTTAATGGATCAAAGTGTGAAGCTAGTTGGTACATGAAGAAAACAAATTTATTCTCTATATTGGAAAGCTTTGCTAGTATCTCTTCAGAAAATGAAATTAAGAGAAGGAAAATAAAAAATTACTGTAACTAACAATAATGGGAAATGAAAGGCCAAGACTGGCAAACTTGAGTGCCAATTGGAATATGGGATTCCAGTTTCATTGTGTCACTAAAATTTCAGCTCTGCTAAAACCTATGGTAGAATTACACATCCTATTTTGGTTTCTGCACTTTATACAAACAAAGAAACAAATGATTAATTAATACCAAACAGATCGTGAAAAGAAATGGCATAGTTCTACTAAAAAAACAGATAAGAAAGAGAAGGCATACTGGAACTTGTATCTCCTCAAACCGTGAAGGATGTGATGTAAAATGGGCTCATTCTGCATGGATCTGATAAGAAATTTTAACATGAATGGGTAAAGCTATTCAAAATCACAATAATGAATTTATCTGCAAATTCTAAAGAAAAAAGATCTTAGAGTTAAAAAACAAAAAAGAAAGTATTTAATTGTTGCTTTTAATACAACAAGAGTCATTATGAAAAGAGGGTTATGATTTTGGGGGGGGATAATTGATATAACAGCACATCTTCTGTGACCAAGTCAAATCAATTAAGTTCTGCCTGGTGGTAAACATTTTAAGATGTTATGAAAGATTGGTATTCTACATCTAAAAAAAAATAACTTCAAAAATACTGTAAAACAGATTTTTTTTTTTAAGATTTTATTTATTTATTTGACAGAGAGAGACACAGCGAGAGAAGGAACACAAGCAGGGGGAGTGGGAGAGGGAGAAGCAGGCCTCCCGCTGAGCAGGGAGCCCGATGCGGGGCTCGATCCCAGGACCCTGGGATCATGACCTGAGCCGAAGGCAGATGCTTAACGACTGAGCCACCCAGGCACCCCGTAAAACAGATTTTTTAAAACAAGTCTTGGGAAAATATATTCTTCTACCATCTTCAGAACTCCCCTGATGTACCCTC